TTATCTCCCACCCCCAAGCCATACTGATGACTTTTCTTTATCCTTGAATATCAGGAAAGAGTTTCTTGGGAAGGTACAAGACTCATCATTACCTTGACCCTTTCACTTCCGTTTTGCATTATATATCTGCCATAAACCACCAGGTTCAGCCTATGTGCTAAGGGCAAAGAAGACAGAGGAACCACAGCATGCTGTCCTTTATTTCAATGAGTAGAGTAACAAATCTCTAAGGAGGATAGAGAGCTGAAGACAATAAAGAAACATAACAGATAGCTTTAATAAACTAAAAATAGTGAGCCCGATGCATCTTATATCTTCCACAGAGCTTCCTGTCTTTGAGATGAGCTTGATCATTGCCTTCTTCTGCAAACAGTACTTCAGGGACAAGAGCTGTTATGTGCTGCAGTGTTTAACACACACCAACCTTTCTTCACAGGCCTGTTTTCCATGGCCTTGTGCCTTGCCTTGTCATTTATATCTGCAGAAAGTGAGTGAAAGAGTACTATCTTCTGTCGGTGGCAGCAAGGAAGCTCTGATAGACAGGACGTTACCATGACTTGGAAGCGTCACTTCCACCACAAAGCCCTTGGGCTCCTTTGGATAGATCAATTTATCCCTGCTTGGCCTTCATTTGAATTAATTTTAACTTTAATGTATGTCTCTTACCTATAAGCAATACTGCAGTGATTCTGAGGCTCTTGAGTGTAAATCTGAGAAAAGTCAAGTAAGGAGATTTCTTTGTCTTGGCAGCAGCCTCCCCCAATTTTTGGTAACTGTAAACGGCAAAGGGGTAGGAAGAGAAGAAGCCAATTCCACAATGCTTTTTTTCAGAGATGCTGACAATAGATAAAAAATATAGTGAAAGATCAGGGAAAACTTGTTTTTTGTTTGTTTTGTGGGGGGTTCTATCACTTCAGTGAAAAACTCAGAGTTTGATCTCTTTTTCTATCCTGCTGGAAATAGAAAGTCCTCAGCTCAGCTCTTCTACAGTCTGAGGCCCATTAGGAGATGTAAAGATGCAGGAATCCCACTAGGGTTTAAGTCCTTACTTTGCTAGAGCTAAAAGACAGGGCTGCCACTTTCATATTAAAACATTTCATCCCTGAAGCATGCTTACTGCACCATCAGTATTCACATCTAGTTCTTTATCTCTTGCCAAGGAGCACCTTTGGTACCACAGGAAAGCACAGCAAATAGAAGACAAATTCCATTGCTTCCTGCAGTACAGGCAGATTTCTGTTTTTCTTAAAGCTATTGTTCATGGAAAGCTTTTTTAAGAGCACCTCTCTGTAGATTCCTGTGATAATAATCCTACACTTAGAAAGCTTTCATACAGTAAACTTTAACAACTCTGGGAACACTACAGAATGAAAAATTGCTGAGAAGCCCATTAACATCCAGACTCCTCTCAGCACAGCAGTAACGTCCAACAATTTCAAATTGAGAGCAAATATTTAACAAAAAACTATTATGGACTGCAAACCCAGCTACTGCTCTCATAGCCTTCCCCATTAACAATTCTTTTATGAAATAACAGATGCTGTGTAAATGAAAAGTAGAAAGGGCGGGACAAGGAAACCAGAAAGATGTATTGGTCAGCATGGCAGAAAGCAAACTCTTCTGTGTAGCCACTGCCTAACTGGGAACAAACATTAGGTGGAGAGTTTTCCCATGATATCACACCTATTTTTCCCATGTATATCAACAGATGTGAGAAGAAAGATACATCTTCTTCACAGAACAGCTATAGAGCTACTTTTCCAAGGCTTCCCTGCTCTTGGAGCGCCTTTCTTGCTTTGCCAAGGGCTTGCACTGTCCAGAGAGGTAGCAAATACCAGACAAAATAGAGCTACTCTTGTGCCCCTTAAGTTGCAGTGCTTGCTCTTTATGGGAGTACTACAGAGACACTGCCGAAGCAGAGGTGGTAGCTTTTCATAACACACTTTAGCCATCTTCTAGGATTGCGGAGGAAATGGCAGAATGGCAATAGGAAAAGAAGTAATTCAGATACTCTTATTTAAAAGTCAGAGCTAACAAGGCATTTCACAGGTATAGTCAAGAAGTATCAGTCATCTGATACTTCCCAGTCACTTCACAGGTCTGTAAACTAAACAATATTGAAGAGTACAACAATGAACA